AATTTGAGAAGTATTGGTATTAATTCTTCTTCGTAGGTCTTGTAGAACTCAGCTGAGAATCCATCTGGTCCTGGGCTTTTCATGGTTGGTAGGTTTTGATGACATCTTCTACTTCCTTGCTTGAAATTGATCTGCTTAAATTGTGTATGTCCTCCTGGTTACATATTTCTTTTTAGGCCAAGGTCTATATAGAAAATTTGGGAGTCCCCCAAATGCAATATAACATTTTAAACAAAGTAATATGTGCATGGGGGAGAGGGAAGGATTTTCCAGTTTCTTTCCAAATATAATTGTAAAAAATGTCAGAATCACATGTAGATATTTTGAAAAGCACCAAGTGTCAACAAAGGGATGTGGGTGGGGATGTTGGTGGTCCTCAGAGGCTGCACCAAAGTCATTAACTGGTGATAGAAAGCAATGTTTTATGCATCTTACATATTAATTAATTTATCACATTTATTGACTTTTTTTGTTTTAGGAAACTGGCTGATAGTGTTGGGTGGACAGGAAGAGGGCTCCTGGCCAGCATTTTCACTCAGCATCTGATCTGAGGAATGATTTCCTGATAGAATCAAGATATGCTTGTATTCATAACAAGCAAAAGTTTAATATTAAAAAAGAAAAGATTAATATTAATAAAATAGGTAACATAACTCAAACCTGAAAGAAAAAGAAAAAATACAGAGAGGATAAGCCAATCCCTAGAAAATGGGTGAAGACTCCTTCACATAGGTATTGGCACCTACTTTTTGAACAAGACACCCAAAGCGCAAGAAATAAAACCAAGGATCAGTAAGTGGGATGCCATTAAACTAAAAACTTCAGTACAGCAAAGGAAATGAGTAAGAGCATGAAAAGAGCCTACAGAATGGGAGAAAATCTGGGCCAGCTACCCATCTTGGATAAGGGATTAATATCCAAAATCCACAAAGAATTCAAAAACTTAACACCAAAAAAGCAAAACACCCAATCAACAAGTGGGCAAAAGAACTAAGCAGATACTTCTCAAAAGAAGAAATACAAGTGACTAATAAGTATATGAAAAAATGTTCAACACCTTTAGCAATCACGGAAATGCAAATCAAAACTACACTGAGATTTCATCTCACTCCAGTCAGAGTGGCAATGATGAAGAACACAAATGACAATAAATGCTGGCAAAGTTGAGGGGAAAAGGTTCACCTGTACATTGTTGGTGGGACTGCAGACTAGCACATCCACTCTGGAAAGCAGTATGGAGATTCCTCAAAACACTAGGGCTGGAACCACCATATGACCCATTATCCCACTCCTTGGTATTTTCACAAAAGATCTAAAGTTGGCATACTACAGTGACATGGCCACATCAATGGTTATAGCAGCACAATTCACAATGGCTAAATTATAGAATAAACCCAAATGCCCATCGATAGATGAACGGAAGAAACTGTGGCATATACAGACAATGGAGTATACTTTCATACACTTATTAATCGATCTACTCAGCCATTAAAAAGAATGAAATCATGGCATTTGCTGGTAAATGGATGGTAATGGAGAATATCATGGTAAGTGAAATTAGTTGAACTCAGAAACTCAAAGGTCTAATTTTTTTCTCTCATATATAGAAGCTAAAATAAAATAAAAGGCAGAGGGAAAGGATAAGGTTACATAAAGAACCAATCAAATATAAATTAATAGACAAGTGAAAGGTAGTCTAGTAGGGGAAGGAGAATGGGAGAGGGGAGAGAAAAGGGGTGGATCATGAGCTGAAAGCAATTTCTATGCGCGTATGAGTTTGTCAGGATGAACCCAACTACTATGTATAACAATAAAGCTCTAATAGTAGAAGAAAGAAAGAAAGAAAGAAAGAAGGAAAAGAAAAAGAAAAAAGAAAATGGGTGAATAAAAGAAACAATTTATAAAAGAAGAAAATTATTAGTCAATAAATATAAAAAATACTCAATCTCACTGTAAGCAATGAAATGCATTCAATATATTAAAACAATGAACTACCTTTTCAAAAATCCATCAGATTGGCAGAAAAGAAAAATGTGGATAATATTAAGAGTTGTTGAGGATTTGGGAGGCCAATCACTTTTATATTTCTGGTGGCTATATACAGTGATGAAGACATTTTTCAAGGTGACTTGGCAGAATCTATTAAAAACTGTAATATATACAAACTTGACTATTTATTTCTAGAAAGCTATCATTCAGAAATATACACACATGCAGGGCATGGTGGCACATGCCAGTAATCCCAACAACTTGGGAGGCCAAGGCAGGAGGATCACAAGTTCCAGATCAGCCTCTATGCAAGGCTATAAACAATTTATGCCCTGTCTCAAAATAAAAAATAAATAAATAAATAAAAAGGGCTGGGGATGTGGCTCAGGGATAAAGTGCCTCTGAGTTCAATTCCCTAGTAGCCGCCCCCTAAAAAAAAGAAAAAAGAGAGAAATACATACATGCATGAAGATATATGTGTGTACATGGATAAATATCATTATATAATTTGTAATTGCCAAAACTATTGAAAAGATCAGGAATTTGTTTTTATACCGATACATAAAAGCATGTGTTGTACATGTATGATATGTACATATTAGTGGGGTACCATGTACTGTTGCCAGAATTTAAATATATTGTGGTTTGAAGTACCATGTAATTGTTAGAGTTGGGTAGACTTTTACATAGTGGGGTTAAAAGTCCCAAAGGCACATTAACAGAACACATTGCAGACTAATATGTACAATATGCCATATTTGTGTGCATGCATATACATACACACATATATTACATACATGAAGGCAAACACCGAGGAGACCTCTGAAAGGCTGCACCCAGCACTTCTGAGAGCAGAAGAGTTGTAGGGGTAGATGGTCTCATTCACCAAACATCCCAGTTTCTTGCTCTGCAGTGCCTCTCTGTGCAGGAGGATGTACTGTCACACTGGTAACTTCAGGAATAGCCATGTGACTTGCTTTGGCCAAATAAGTGATGCCAGTCACTTCATGCAAAGTTTTAGAAGTCAGGGTTAAAAAAAAAGAACAGAACAAATTTTTTACAAGTAAGAAACACAACATCCTTCCAACTCAGAACATAAATAATATGATGATGTTAAAACAAAGAAAAAAAAGAAGTGACGAAGTCTGGGCATCATTTGTCTCGTCTTTTTCCTTTACCAGGTGACTGGTGATGTTCAGGTAGAGGTTAAGTTTTGTATCCATTCTGGAGTGAAGAGGGTAAGAGCAGAGCCAGAGCTGACTTATGAAAAGTATACACAGTGTGAACAAGGAACAATCGTCTATTATTATAAAGCCACTGAAATTTAGGGATATTTGTTCCATGTGGCCTATCCTGATACAAATAAAGGAAGACTTTACAGAGTTTTCTCTGCATATTTCTCTGTTTATGTGCATTTGTAATACATAGATACTTATGCATTACTAATAAACTAACTTAAAAAATTTACTTCTTTGCAAAATGACAAATTATTACAAGCCAAGGACATTTAAGATTATTGACAAACAGAAACTACAAAAGCCTGGAATTCCAAGGGCCATGTTGAAGTGTTTGCCTGACACCTACCCCATAGGCCAACCCACCACAGCTACTCCTGAAATGCTATGAAAAAATACAAGGAAGCCTGGTGTGGAGGTGCACACCACAGCTACTCCTGAAATGCTATGAAAAAATAAAAGGAAGCCTGGTGTGGAGGTGCACACCCAGCAACTCAGAAGGCTGAGGCAGGAGTATTGCAAGTTCGAGGCAAGTCTGAGCAACTTAGCAAAACACTGTCGCAAAATAAAAAATAGAAAGGGCTGAGAATATATAGTTCAGTGGTAAAGTGCCACTGGGTTCAACCTCCAGTACAAAAATTCCAAAAGAGAAGAAAAAATGAGAGATATGTTGTATGTTGGCAGGTCATGTGAGAATTATTCTAGTGTGCTTTACTAGGGGGAGTCAGGGCAGTAAACATCCCCACCTGACCACAGTGCTAAAGAGCATCCCAATAGATGGTGGACCACAGTTTTTTTTTTTCTGTAGACATTGTGAGACCTCATTCTTCAGCAGCAGGAATTAGGATGCAATTACTGTTTACTTATTATTGGGTGAATATACCAGTCCCTGCAGATGTGCCCTGAACACAAAGACTTTGAGAACTGATGTAGGCCACATCGACTCTTATGTCCTGGTGGCTGCTGCCCCTGGCTCTAATCTAGACTCTCAACACTTATTCTCACTGGGCACCTCCTCTCTGTCAGGCACTGTAATTGCCATTAGCAAGAGAGATGTAACACTTGCTCTCAAATCCAGCATAGTGGAGATAATGCACAGGGAGAGGCCCTTGAGGGACAGTAGCAGCTAAACATTTCTAATTCACAGAACAAAACAAAAATGCCTTCCCGCCACACAACACACACACACACACACACACACACAGGCCCAGCATAATTACCCCTGCTTTTTTTCAGATGAGGAAACTAAGGTGGAGAGAAGTGAATTATCTTTCTGAAGTTCTGACAGCCCACCTGGAGAGCTTGCAATTAAGCAAGTTCTTTCTCTGTCCATACTAAGTCACCTCCTGTGCAAAAGGGTGAAAGAATGAGGCCTCACAGTGAAACAAAGGCCTAGGAGCCACAGCCGGGGCACAACTAAGCCTTGAATCAGAGCATTATCCTTCAGAACAGGATACAAAGATCCAGTTTCTTGTTCTCATTATCCCTCGAGGGTGAGGCCCAGCCCAGGTTCCAGGAGGCCTGGAAATCTGACTTAGGTTAGCTATGGTTTGCATTCCTTCCATTTCTGCCCACACCCTCCCCCTTCTAGTGCTGCAAGTGGAACTCTGACTTGCTCCAGGCTGGAGGTGGGGTGAGGAACACCCTCACAATAGCTCTGCGCCAAGAAGTCTAGAAGATCAGATCTAGGTGGTGGCAATTCTTGGGGCCCCTCTGAGGTCCAACAGGCTCAGTCCCTTCTGTAGCTTAGGCTGGGGAATTTTTGGTCACGCATATCTGCCATCAGCTCATTGCTATTAACATTCTTGCTGGGTAAGCATTCAGCACCCAGAAATACCCCAGGAGATCTAACTCAGATCTGTTCCTGGTTACTGAAGAGAGTTCACTCCGAACAAGGATACAGAGGGGCTGTTTTCTCACGGGGTCCATTTCCATACTCCGTGCTGGGTGAGCTGAGAACAGCGAGTATGGAAATTTTCACCAAAAGATCTGAGTTGAGGTGGTCTCCTTTCCAAGAGGCCTTGAAGTGGTCTGCTTTAGGGCTAGGGTCCTGCAATTCAGCTGGCCTTTGCATCTGAGGATCAACAAGACACGGGAACAGAGCCAGGGTCTTGCTGGACGGAGAAGAGCAATCCTGGACCAGCCAATGGGAGGGTGAGTGAGGTCCTAGCTCCGCTCTGGAGCATGAGTGAATTCAGGGGAGAATGATTCATGAAATTCTTTCCATGGGCACCTCAGCTGGTGCTAAAATGGCAAATAAATAGAGAAAACAGTGAAAAACGAGAGGCAGGTACCTTGTGGCGTGAAGATATGCCTGGGAAGGGCTTCTCCTTGGAAAGCAAGAAACCTGCATGAATATCTGATGAAACAGGCAGCAAAGGTATCATCCGAGTTATGATTCAGTGAAATGTGGCATCGAATTTATATTCGTGTCAAGGTTTATTTTAATAGTGTTAGTGAGGACCTTAAGCCTTAAATCATTAGAGTTAGAAGGGTCACTTAGCTTTTCCAGTTGGTTTCAACTGAACTTCTCAGGGGAAACTGAGCTTTGTGTTCCTATAAAGTTGGCAATTGGGGTTCTGAAAACTAGGGGTGTACTGGGTTTTGACCTCCTAAGCTGTATGTGCTTAAGAAGGTGACTCCCCCAACCCCCATCCTGGGAATTGAATCCAGGGATGCTCTAACACTGAGCTACATCCCCAGGCCTTTTAATTTTTTATTTTGAGACAAAATAAAAGTTTTGCTCAGACTGGCCTCAAACTTCTTATCCTCCTGTCTTAGCCTTCTGAGAAAGTGACTTCTTGAAAAAAAAAATGATCTTTTATTTCCTCTATGCCTGGAAGGTGCCGAATGTCAGGGGGCATCAGTCTCAGGGATGATGAGCTCCTCCTGAAATTCTGCGTTCTGGCCATCTTGCTAGCCTCAGCCTAGCCCTGGCCTTGAGGACAAGCCCAGCACAGAGAGGTCAGCAGGATAAAGGAATGAACAAATGAAGCGATCAGGGAAGAACAGTCATTGGAAATCTCCAAATACCGGGTGTGTTCACAACCTTCCAACAGCCTGTTTCACAGAAGTTCACGATGAGCAGATGAACGGGCCTCAGAACTGTGCTTGTCTTAGCTCAGGCTGCTACAGCAACAGAAGATAGGCCGGCAGCTTAAAGAAGACTGATCCATAATATGCTGGGGGTGGGGATGGGAGGATTAAATGAACTCTAGATAGGGCAAAGGGGAAAAGAGCAAAGACAGGAAGGAGGGAGAACAGGGGTAGGAAAGATGGTGGAATGCGATGGTCATCATTACCCTAAGTAAATGTAAGAAAACACGAAGGATGTGACCCTACTTTGTGGACAACCAGAGAGCTGAAAAATTGCGCTCTACACGTGTAATTTGAATTGTAATGCATTCTGTTGTCATATACAAAATATCAAAAAAATTTTTAAAAAGAACTGTGGCACCTAAAAATAAAAAATAAAACATTTTGATTTCTCACAATTTGGGAGGTTGGGAAGTTCAAGAATCAGGGTGCTGGTAGGTTTGGTTCCTGGTGACAGCCCTCTTCCCTGGCTTGCAAATGACCATCTTTTTATTGTATCCTCACTTGATGGAGAGAGGAAGACACTCTGATCACTCTTTCTCTTCTTATAAGGACACTAATTTCATCTTGGGGACCCCACCCTCATGACCTCATTGAAACCCCATTACTCACCCTCCCTCAATCTCCCTTCAAATACTGCTACATTTGTGGGGATAGGGCATCCGCATAAGGATTTGAGGGGGACACAAACATCCAGTTAATAATGCAATATGTTAAAATTACATGCTTGGGGGGTCCCTGTTTCTGTACAAAAGTTTGATAACTGTTAGAATTCTAAGATGCTCCTGAAGATTCCTGCCCCTTGGTAGCTGAATGTGGTGGTGCATGCCTGTAATCCCAGTGACTTGGGAGGCTGAGGCAAGAGGTTTACACGTTGGAGACCATCCTCAGCAGTTTATAAAGGCCCTAAGCAACTTAGTGAGACCCTGTCTCAAAATAAAAAAGGGTTGAGGCCAGGTGCAGTGGTGCACACCTGGAATCCCAGTAGCTCAGGAGGATCATGAGTTCAAAGCCAGCCTCAGCAATTTAGTGAGGCCCTAAACAACTCAGCAAAACCCTGTCTCTAAAAAAATACATTAAAAAGGGCTGGGGATGTGGTCCAGTGGTTAAATGCCTCTAGGTTTCATCCCTGATACCCCCCCCACCAAAAAAAAAAAAAAAAAGATTCTGGCCCCTGGGTACATATGCCCTGTGCAATCTCATCCCTTGAGGTAGGTAGGCCTGACCTGATCAGTCAAACTCTTTAAAAGTAGGTGACAGATGAAATAAGCCAAAGAGATTAGATGCATGAGAGGCATTGGGTCTTACAGGAGCTCACAGCTGTGCTGTGAGAAAGCCACATAGTGAGGAAATGTTGGAATGGGGGTGACAGCCAGCAAGAAAGTGAGAACCTCAGTCCTACAACGGAAGCAACTAAATTCTGCTGGTAACCATGTGAACTTAGAAAAGACCCTGTATTTTGGATGAGTCCCCAGCCTGGCTGACATTTGACTTCAGAGAACCCAGCCACACCACACCAGCACTTCTGACCTACAGGACTGGGTGAGAATAAATGTGTGTTATTTTAAGCAGCTAAGTTTATGGTAATTTGTTATATAACATACAAAGCTAATAAAATCTCCTTTCTACAATAGATCAGTCCACATCTCCTGGGTCTCTTAAAAACAGCTCTTATCTGGTAGTTGATGACATTTTCCTCTCGCATTAATACATAACCTCCTTTCTTGCTCCTTTTCCATCTTCTCCCCTACTGTTTCCTTTGGGAATTTACATAGTAATTCAAATCTGCTCCACACATGACTCTTTGAACACTCCCAGAACAAAACATTATCTTCTCCCCGCCCTCCACAAAGTGTTTCCAGGGCACTGTCATTGTGAAGTCACCGTTTGCCTCCTTCCAACCAGCATTCAGGGCTCCCAGACCTCAACAGCATGTTTATTACATAACAGCAAGACATACACCAAAACAACTTGCTGCCGGGCTTTAACTATAGCTGCAGCAGGAGCCGCTTTCCTGGGCTTGAAGTTAAGGCATTTCACGTCTCTTAATTGCTATACATTTCTATAAAATAGAAAAAAAAAAAAAACCTAAAAATGGCCCCAAAGGTATGAGGTTCTCAGAGGAGAAAGGAAGGGCCAGGAAGGGAGCCCTTTAAAGTCAGCACCAGTGACTCAGTGGCACAGAACTGTCTCTTCCTTGGGTCCCCTTTTCTAATGAGGGGGGAGGGATTTTTAGCAGGTGTATTCATCTGGAGGCTCTTTTAATTGTAAGCTTTCAAAAAAAAAAAACAAAAAAAAAAAACAACTTGGGATGGGGCTGTAGCTCAATGGTAGAACACTTGCCTGGCGTGTTTGAGGCCCTGGGTTCAATCCTCAGCACCACATAAAAATAAGTAGAATAAGATCATTGTGGCCATCTACAAATAAAGCAAAACATTAAAAAACAACACCTTGACCCAGCATAAAAACAGGAGTTTTTTTTTTGTTGTTGTTGTTGTTGGTGGTGGTGGTGGTGGTGCTGGGGATTGAACCCAGGACCTTGTACATATGAGGCAAGCACTCTACCAGCTGAGCTTTATCCCCAGCCCAGGATAGGGCATTTCTTATTCAACTGAATGAAGGTTGGCTGTCTCTCCCCTTCTCCCCCCACCTCATGTTGGTTTCATTCTCAGGTACCAACTCCCCATGTGATGCCCCTCATTTCCGCAGGTCTCTGGCTCACCCTATGGGAAAAGGGTGCTTCTTTTCTCCAGTCCAGTCACCTCTCCTGGACTGAACTGTCCTCTCTTTAAATCAACACTGTGGCCAGGGAGATGGAACCCACTGTTTGCCCAATACAGGGGCTTTTGTCCTCTTTTTGGAGGATTTGGGGTCCCAAGGACTTGGAGTGGGGGAAGGATGGGTTCTCCAAGGAAAGCCAGAGTGCTGTCACCAGAAGAGGGTAGAACAGATGCTGGTGACCAGAACAGAAGATGTGCTTGGCAATGACACCTGTTCTCATGCGGAATAGAGTTGGGGCCACTTGAGGTAATGGGGAGCAGAAGACTGTCCCCACCTGTGTGCTTGGGAAAAGGGTGCTTCTTTTCTCAGAATCCCCCATGTCCATCTCTGTGTGTTTGCCCTTCATGAAGGTCACCAGCTGGAGGACAGTCAAGGTGGAAACAGCACAGTTTTTTCTCTTTCCTGGACCCTCTTGCTTCCTCTCTTACAAAGTGGTTGGAATTTCTGTGCCCCTGTCCCTGTGTTCCTCTTGAGAGTGAATTGCCTTCCCTCACTATACAGAAAGGCTGAAGGCCACATAAGGACTTCCCATTGGAGACCTGGCCTATTGTGGGTGCAGCAAGAAGGGGTGGAAGGGGCTGGAGGACCCCTGGGTCCCAGGCTTTTGGGTTCACACTACCCCTTGAGTTGCTGGATCTCCCCACAGACTCTCAGGGTCTCTCTGTTCCTACTCACAAGTCTAACAGCCCTGCTACCTGCAGGACTTTTCTGTATCCACTTCCTTTGCATTCTTTCTTGTTCATGATTGTGACCCCTGCTTTCTGATTGGGGTGGGTGGGTGAGGAGGGCTCTCTCAACCCTCTGGCCTTTCCAGGTGTACCTTTCCCACTCCCTTGAACGGATTTCATTTCTGCTTCCTTATTCCATCAAAGGGTTAAACAATACTGGACAGGGAGGGCAGGACATTTTTTCTATATAGGATACATATTTAGAAAGTGCTAGCAGTTGGATGTGTTGGAAAAGAAAAATGCCTATTAGCTTTGAGGAATTTTATTAACATTGGGGTGTATTACAAAACCATTCTAATATGTGGTGGTGCACCTTGAATGTATCCTAGCAGGATTATCTATCTGATTCAAGATGTTTAACTCATTAATTTTATATTTAATATAGGAGGGATAATTGAAGAATTCACTTATGTATCAAAATTGTATTTATTGAATATTTACTGAGTGTCAAGGTACTAAACCCAGGGATACAAAGATGCTTAGCACCCATTTCTTCCCCCTCAAGAGCTTACAATCTTCTAGATGAGGCACACAAAAAAGCTAAATATAGTTCTATATTAGAATCTATTTAAAAAATAAATAAATAAATAAATAAATAAATAAAAAGACAGCTTATTCTAGGTTTACCCAACTCCTAGCTTGAGCAATTTTTCTTAAGTTAGCTAAGGCTTGGCTCACGGGTCTGGTCTAAAAAGGGCCACTCTGAAGCTTGAAACACCAGGAATGATTCTGGAGGTTAAGGAGGGAGTTACAGCATTGAAAGGGATCCTTTGCTTCAAAATAAAGAATGACTGCTCTGAAAGAAGCTACGTGAAACCTAATGAAGAAAATCATTAAACTGTTCTTGATGTTTTGGGCTTTTAACAGAACAAGATTTAAATAGAAGCCAGGCACACACCTATTATCCCAGTGGCTGGGGAGGCTGAGGCAGGAGGATTGTGAGTTCAAAGCCAGCCTCAGCAACAGTAAGGTGCTAAGCAACTCAGTCAGACCCTGTCTCTAAATAAAATACAAAATAGGGCTGGGGACGTGGCTCAGTGGTTGAGTGCCCCTGAGTTCAATCCCTGGTCAAAAAAAAATTTTTTTTTAAGTGGAAAAGTAGCCCGCACATCAGATTATCAATGGCACCTTAACCATCTGGAGAACTCACTGATCAATAGATTGCATAAGAGAATCCACCACGGGAAGTTTATCACATGACACATGTGTAGATGGATGTCCCACTCTGAGGCAGTAACAGTAAGCAGTGATATACTGGGGATTGACAGTGTCTGCTACGGTCACCATGGAAAAGCCATGTCAAAGATGTGGTTCCCAAGTCTGAACATCTCCGGGATGGGCTCTGGTTGGCTTGGGCTTGGGGCCACGGCGGGCAGCGGGGGTGCAGATTGTTATACAAAATAGCTGATGATTCTGCAGTTGCCATGCCTGTGGGTGGGGGTGTGCAGGGAAGGTAACTGAGGGGGTGTAGGAACTGGGGACAAGGTGAGGAGTGAGCCTCAGGGAAAGGGGTTTTTAGTATGCCTGACATTAGCTGGAGACATTTCTCAGGCTAAACTTTAATTTTCTGTCACTCAGCATTGAGTTATTCTTGTTGCTTCTATGACTCCGACGTAAAACCCCACTAATAAAAAAAAAAATAGAAGAGACAACAAATCCCCATCTGGATTGTTGTATGAAACTGGGTGTTGAGCTTTCCCCTGCACATATGACTTGCCACATTTTTAACAGGCCCATGAACTGTCTTTGAGAGCTGGACTCCTGGGGCCTGGGCCTGTGGCTCAGCTTCCCTGAGTCACCCCATGCCCTGACCATGGGACGCCCTGCCTTGCCCCTACTCCCGGCTGCCATGGTGCGGGTACCAAGCATGTCCCTTGCTGCACAGGCGT